ACATGCTACCACCACACTGGTCCGACACTGCGACAGTGGTTCATGCTACCACCACACTGGTCTGACACTGCTATAGTGGTTTATTTTACCACCACACTGGTCTGACACTGATTCAGTGGTTTATTTCACCACCACACTGATATGACACTGATTCAGTGGTTTATGCTACCACCAGACTGGTCCGACACTGCTACAGTAAGTTCATGCTACCATCGCACTGGTCCGACACTGCTACAGTGGTTCATGCTACCACCACACTGGTCCGACACTGCTACACCGGTTCATGCTACCATTCACACTGGTCCGACACTGCTACAGTGGTTTATGCTACCACCACACTGGTCCGAACTGCTACAGTGGTTCATGCTACCACCACACAAGGTCTGACACTGCTACAGTGGTTTATGCTACCACCACACTGGTCTGACACTGCTACAGTGGTTCATGCTACCACCCCACTGGTATGACACTGCTACAGTGGTTTATGCTACCACCACACTGGTCCGACACTGTTACAGTGGTTTATGCTACCACCACACTGGTCTGACACTGCTACAGTGGTTCATGCTACCATCACACTGTTCTGACACTGCTACAGTGGTTCATGCTACTACCACCCCGGTATGACACTGCTACAGTGGTTTATGCTACCACCACACTGGTCCGACACTGTTACAGTGGTTTATTTTACCACCACACTGGTCTGACACTGATTCAGTGGTTTATTTCACCACCACACTGGTATGACACTGATTCAGTGGTTTATGCTACCACCACACTGGTCCGACACTGCTACAGTGGTTCATGCTACCACCACACTGGTCTGACACTGCTACAGTGGTTTATTTTACCACCACACTGGTCTGACACTGCTACAGTGGTTCATGCTACCACCACACTGGTCTGACACTGCTAGTGGTTTATTTTATCACCACACTGGTCTGACACAGCTACAGTGGTTCATGCTACCACCACACTGGTCTGACACTGCTACAGTGGTTAATTTTACCACTACACTGGTCTGACACTGCTACAGTGGTTTATTTTACCACCACACTGGTCTGACACTGCTACAGTGGTTTATTTTACCACCACACTGGTCTGACACTGATTCAGTGGTTTATTTCACCACCACACTGGTACGACACTGATTCGGTGGTTTATGCTACCACCACACTGGTCCGACACTGCTGCAGTGGTTCATGCTACCACCACACTGGTCTGACACTGCTACAGTGGTTCATGCTACCACCTACACTGGTCTGACACTGCTACAGTGGTTTATGCTACCACAGCACTGGTCCGACACTGCTACAGTGGTTTATGCTACCACAGCACTGGTCCGACACTGCTACAGTGGTTTATGCTACCACAGCACTGGTCCGACACTGCTACAGTGGTTTATGCTACCACAGCACTGGTCCGACACTGCTACAGTGGTTCATGCTACCACCACACTGGTCTGACACTGCTACAGTGGTTCATGCTACCACCACACTGGTCCGACACAGCTACAGTGGTTCATGCTACCACCACACTGGTCCGACACAGCTACAGTGGTTCATGCTACCACCACACTGGTCCGACACAGCTACAGTGGTTCATGCTACCACCACACTGGTCTGACACAGCTACAGTGGTTCATGCTACCACCACACTGGTCTGACACTGCTACAGTGGTTAATTTTACCACTACACTGGTCTGACACTGCTACAGTGGTTTATTTTACCACCACACTGGTCTGACACTGCTACAGTGGTTTATTTTACCACCACACTGGTCTGACACTGCTACAGTGGTTTATGCTACCACCACACTGGTCTGACACTGCTACAGTGGTTTATGTTACCCCCACACTGGTCTGACACTGCTACAGTGGTTTATTTTACCACCACACTGTTCTGACACTGCTACAGTGGTTAATTTTACCACTACACTGGTATGACACTGCTACAGTGGTTTATTTTACCACTACACTGGTATGACACTGCTACAGTGGTTTATTTTACCACTACACTGGTATGACACTGCTACAGTGGTTCATGCTACCACCACACTGGTCTGACACTGCTACAGTGGTTAATTTTACCACTACACTAGTATGACACTGCTAGTGGTTTATTTTACCACCACACTGTTCTGACACTGCTACAGTGGTTTATTTTACCGCCACACTGGTCTGACACTGCTACAGCGGTTTATGCTACCACCACACTGGTCCGACACTGCTACAGTGGTTTATGCTACCACCACCCCGGTATGACACTGCTACAGT